AAGGTGTGAGAAAGAATAGTATCAGTAACATTGTTAACACTGTGCTACATTACAGAGAAATACAAAACCGTACTAATGAACCTTCATTAATATAGGCCTATATTTTATCTACAAGTGCACGTCACACACTGAGCGAGCCGCCTGTTAATGACGCTGTCGGCAAAGCAGTAATGATTGTGCTAAGTGGCTAATGGGCATGTAGCTACTTCCATGTTTCAGATGATACGTCATGTTTGTAGTCGACCAATGAAGATGAGTTTACATATCACCTTGGGTTCATCCTTCACCTTCTTCTTTAACCACCTGGAAAACATGAGGTCGGGCGCTGGGTGCTATTCTTGTGCCTTTTTTCGGCCAGCTTTCAAGCACATGGCAGCGGGTTGTGTTAGCAACCTCAACAAGCACCTGAAATCCTGAGTGCAGAGCTGATCGTCTTCCAGGCGCTGTTTATAAGTGTGTAGGCCTATCGTCTGTAGGACAGATGTAAAGCTCTGGGTAGCCCTGCACTAACATGATCAACTTTTCCATATTTATCAGACTGAATATTTACAGAAGAAGGGAAAGATATCTGTCGGCTGTGATTGGTTTGTAACGTGACTCCTGTCTGACTGCTGAGCGTGGCCTCTTCCTGTGTCTGTCCTTTCAAATTAAATTCCCACATGGTCCAGTCATATAGGTTTGGATTTATTTTGACAAGGCACAGCTGTGTCATGTTTTTTTTCTGTGACTAAGCGACTAATGAAATCTTTCCCACTAATGACCTTTGTAGTCGACTAACATTTGGTCAACTATTAGGGGGCAGCCCTACAGTTTTCTGCTCTGATGAATAGTTTTAGATGAAACAGAGACGTCTTTTAAAGAACAAACACATATAGCATGCAAGTCCACTGCCTCCAAAGCAGAAAAAAAAGACCTGATGTCAGATGTTCAACATTTGCAATTTTCCAAGTCAAATATAATTCTGGGAAGCCAGGGAACCAGTTAAACAGGCCTTTTGATGACAACTAGCGCGTATCATTAGGAACATACAAGATAAACTTAAATTACGTGCAATATGTAGTGATAACAGTCTATACAGTGTTTCTAGTGCCTGTAGATATAAGTGATGTATTAAATGAATGTTTTACATACAGGTACACGTCAGGTTTTCCAGACCTGTTTAATGCAAAGAGGTGTAGAACATAAATAACCTGATTCACACACAGACTTTTCTGCAGGGATCTTTTAACTTCAGTATGATATTAGCACAGGGGAAATGAGATCCTCTAAAATGTACAGTATAATATGTATTTTCTGGTGCTGGGGATACTTTAATCAAGATAATAACACAAGGCGGAGCAAAGCTGTCATTGCAGTCAGTTTCTCCCAGTTAGGATTCCTTAAGCATTCATTGTACAGGAGGTATTTACTGGGAGACAAATTATCCATAGAGGTCTCTACTCTACAAAACACACAGACTCTGTGATTTAAACTTGTAGAAATGCTGAATGAAGCAGTTTCGCGTTACAAAGCAATGTTTCTCAGATGCTGTTCGGCTTGTCGCGGAGGGGCTGTTAGCTCAGCACCTGCTAATGTGTGCTGATCTTTTTTCTCTGATAACTTAAGATCCAGATGTTCAGGAGGTTTTTAGTGGGAGCCGAATTATCCGCAGAGGTCTCTTCCTCTCCAAAGCAAATTGACCTGGTGATTTAAACTGGTACAAACATAGAATAAAGCAGTTTCATGTTACAAAACAGTGTTTCTCAGATGCTGTTTGGCACTGCTGTGACTGGAGCTGAGCTCCGGCTAACGTTTGCTCAACTTGTTTCTCTTAAAACTTAAGATCCAGACGTTCAGAAGGTTTTTACTGGGAGCCTAATTATCTGCAGAGGTCATTTCCTCTCAAAAGCAAATTGACCTGGTGATTTGAACCAGTAAAAGCACTGAATAAAGCAGTTTCACATTAAAAATCATTGTTTCTCCAGAGCTGATTGGCACTGCAAGGGCTGGAGTCAAGCTGCTGCTAAGGCTTGCTCAAATTGTTTCTCTGATAACTTAAAATCTAGACTTCTGGTTACTAAAATCCCTCATCTAATAAAAATATATAATAAACTATCTATAAACGACCAGTGTATCGTAAAAATAAATGTAAATTACATATACTACATTCACACACTTTGTTCTGGATAAATGAGTGGCTCCCTCGTCACTGTTGTTCTGCTGTGTCTTTGCGTTTTTTTCAGCCAAGCAGCAGAATCTGTTGTCCAAAGATGGCTTCCTCATGTACATGCACAGTCCAGAGGCCTTGGTACTTAATCCAGATCACAGAGATGTGTACCAGGACATGAGCCATCCCCTCAACCACTACTTCATCTCCTCCTCGCACAACACCTACCTCATGGAGGATCAGCTCAAAGGGCCCAGCAGCACGGAGGCTTACGTCAGGTAACAGCTTTCATCCTGCCTGTAAGAATCTGTTCTTCAGGTCTGGAATTTACAATCATCAAGGTGCTTTACATTGTGTTTCTTTTTTTTTTGGTCACTAATACTGGCTGTGACTCTCAGGGCTCTGCTGAAGGGCTGCCGCTGTGTGGAGCTGGACTGCTGGGATGGATCAGATGATGAGCCAGAGATCTACCACGGATACACACTCACCTCCAAGATCCTCTTCAAAGACGTCATCGCAGCCATCAAGGAGTACGCTTTCAAGGTGTGTTTAGTATCCAGTTATATTTATGAACACTCGTGTAACTTTTCTTGATTTGAGTTCTCAGTTTTTATGCCTGCGTGTTGGCTATAGCTGTGGCTGAAGGCATTATGTTTTCAGGTTGTCTGTCCATCCGTCCTATTCTTGTGAACGTGATATCTCAAAAACACCTGGAGGGAATTTCCTCAAATTTGGCACAAACATCCATTTTGAGTCAGGGATATAGTGATTAAATTTTTAAGGTCAAAGGTCAAGGTCACTGTGATCTCTCGTCTGTTTTATTCTCGTGAATGCAAATCTGGTGAATGCTTTCAAAGGACAAAAATGAAATGTAATTCTTTGAGGGATTTTCCTCAAATTTGGCAAAAACGACCACTTGGCCTCGACGATGAACTGATTTCTCGTGGTCAGAGGTCAAGGTCACTGTGACCCTGCATTCATGTAATTTTTTATGAACACATTATCTCAAGAAAGCCTTTAGGGAATTCCCTCAAATTTGGCACAAATGTGGTAAAGGACACTTTGCATCTGTGTCATCCTCATGAATGCAAATCTTGTGAATACTTTCAAAGGATAAAAATTAAATGTAACGCCTTGAGGGAATATCCTCAAACTTGCCACAAATGTCCACTTAGATTCAACCTAGAATTGATTAGAATTTGTTGGTTAAAGGTCAAGGTCATTTTGACCTTGCATCTGTCCCATTCTTGTGAACATGATGTCTCAAGAAAGCCTTGATATTGAGGGAAGTTCCTCAAATTTGGCACAAACATCCACTTGGACTCGACAGTTCTGAACTAACTGAAATTTGGTGGTTAAGGTTCAAGGTCACTGTAGGTGAAGTATCCATGTTGTCACTGACACGGATGTAAACTGTTTCTGAATATTGACTGGTTCATGGAGGCATACAGCCGCGAGGTGGTTATTCCCGTCTCTGTCTTGTTGTCCCCAGACATCTGATTACCCAGTTATCCTCTCCTTGGAGAACCACTGCAGTGTGGAGCAGCAGGAAGTCATGGCCCGCCACATGAGCTCCATCCTGGGCAGTGCACTTGTCACCTCTCCCCTGGGGGACGGCATGCCCGACACCTTTCCATCTCCTGAGGTTTGTATCCACTCTAACCTGTTGGTACATTTCATTTTTGTCTTCTGAAAGCATTCAGTCACAAAGCTAGACTTTTCATGTGTGTGTTTACCTCCAGGAGCTGAAGGGGAAGTTCCTCATCAAAGGGAAGAGGTTAAACAAACTGGAGGCCAGCTTTGCTGCTGAGGCAGCAGATGGTGATGACATTGACGTGACGGAGGAGGAAGAGTCAAATGACGAAGATGAGGCACAGCAGGAGCAAAAGAAAAAAAAGGTGGGGGTCACATCAAAGGAGAGTAAATAAATGATCATCATTTTTAGCATTAGTGGACACTCCTTTTATACTTTCTATTTACTGCGTAGGAGAAAAAGAAGCTGAAACTAGCGAAGGAGTTGTCTGACATGGTGGTCTACTGTAAGAGCGTCCACTTCCATGGCTTTGAGGACGCACGACAAAACCTGAGCTTCTACGAGATGTCGTCCTTCAAGGAGAGTAAGGCCATGGAGCTGGCAGAGGAGTCAGGTGAGGAAGAATTCAGGCTGGATTTACCAAATTGTTTTAATGAATAGATTTATCTTAAGATACCAGTAAAGATATTTCATAAATCATGTATTGGTGTTTCCTAAAATTCCTATAAATTTGTCTAATTGGAGGAATATGTACTTTAATAATTATTCTCTTTGTCCAATTTAAAACACTCTTCCAAGCGAAGAAAGAAATGTTCAACGTCCATTCTTTAAAATGCAAAAATAAAAACTGGGAAAAAGCAATGGATTGCAAAAAAGAAATATTTAAAAAAAAAAGAAGTAATCAAACTCACCAGGGTGGAATCAGGAAAAGAAAAAATATGGTCTTAATGTGTTGGTTTGCTCCGTCTTCACAGTCCTCCCCACACCCTGGTTATACTTTTGCCCCCGGCCTGTCGAAGAAAAACTATGAGGTTTTTTTCCATGGCAGCATGACTCCACTTTGTCCTCCACAACCAAAATCAAAAGACCCTCCCAAACAATTCCCTGCTCCTTTTCTCCTAAAGGCCATGCCCCCTTCACCTGTGTGCAGCAGCACACCCGAACAGAGTGGACTAGTAGGTGGCACCTTGAGTTACACTCACTGGCTGCTTTATTAGGTACACCTTGCTAGTACCAGGTTGGACCCCCATTTTGCCTTAGTTCCTTGCAGCATCGATTCAACAAGGTGCTGGAAACAGTCCTCAGAGATTTTGGTCCATATTGACATGATCGCATCACACAGTTACTGCAGATTTGTCGGCTGCACATCCATGATGCGAATATCCCGTTCCACCACATCCCAAAGGTGCTCTGTTGGATTGTGGTGCGCATACTGGTGGCAGAAAAACAGCAGACATCGGAGAAAAACAGTTGACATACCTGGAATAAAAAAGTCATCTTGTTGTCAGAAAAGGGAATACAGAATAATATAGAAAACCACCGCAGAGGACGCCGCAGTAGAATATAAACTTTTGTCTCCAGTTAATTATAAAATCTCGATATGCAGGATATAATCACTGCTGGACGCTCTGTAGAGGAGTGTGTGTTTGGATTACATGGACAGAATTGCTGATGTGGTGAAATATAATTCATCATCATATCAAATTGTAACATGGATTTGCCTTATTGTCCTTGGTTAATACTTGCTAGCTAACACTGTCTGCTTATGAAGTGCTTGATCATAACAGAATATAGTAACTGTCACCACTGCTCATTTCAGACAGGACACCACAAGAAAAACATGTTTAGATTAATACACAGACAGTGGATCATCATTTGTTTCTAGTTGTCGGTGATCAGCTATAGGTAGCACGCTAGCTACGTTAGCTCCATCTCTAATGTTAGTGAGCCTTTCACTTTCCCAGCCTGGATGCAGAGGAACTGATCTAAACACACATAAGCTTTCTTGTGTCCTTTTTGAGCAGTGCGAACAGTTTAATATACAGTACTTTGTTATGATCAAGGTGTTAATAAACAGACAGTGTTAGCTAGCTAACGCACTAGCAGGTTGAGAAGTTGGTCTTCCACATTATATTGTATTACATCGGGACATTTCCACAACTATTAACCAAGGACAAACAGACAAATCTTGACAAATCTGAGTTTTTACAATTCTTATGATGGTTATTTTTCACCACGTAAATACTTCAGTAATTCAAATAAGCTGAACACACACTCCTACTGAGCACCTAGCAGCAGTAATTAGCCTAAATATCCATAATCTAATTAACTGGAACACAAAACTTTTTTTTCAACTTCACGTAGATCATAAAATCATGGATATAAATACGACTTATTGCAATCAGTTGAGAAATGTTTAAACGTTAAAGTGGTTTTTACATTGTATTTGGCACTCATACCAACACCACTACTGTGCCTTCCTGCCACCAGTTTGGCTCCGCCCACAAAATACGTCCTCACTGTTTCCAAACATTAAAAGGGTCTTTAGGTCCCCTTTATGTTCTGAACCAGTTCTGACCTGGAAACCAATACGTAAACATGAATCTTCTATTATTTCGTATTATTGTATTTCCTGTCATTTCTTTTCCCTAAAAGCATTTTAGTACTTCTCATGTGGTGAATATCGTTATGATGGTTCTTCTGTCTGGCCGTGTTCTCTGCAGCAAATTCCTACATCTGTCATAACGTGGAAAAGCTGAGCCGCATCTATCCAGGTGGCAGTAGGACCGACTCCTCCAACTACGACCCAGTGCCTCTGTGGAATGCTGGCTGCCAAATCGGTACATAATGCAAACTCTGAATTCGACGGTCCAGTCTGGATTTAACTAAAGAGAGACAGATGCTTATTTTGATTCATCGTCTCTGCTTCATCTTATTTCCTTTTCAGTTGCCTTAAACTTCCAGACGACCTGCAAGGAAATGGACATTAACCAGGGCAGATTCCTGGTTAACGGAAAGAGCGGCTACATTCTGAAGCCGGCCTACATGAGAGACGTAAACACAGAATTTGACCCCATCACCCTGACCCGGGGAGAATGGCTGAAGCCAAAGGCGCTCCACATCATGGTGAGTGTGTCACTAATAACACACGTGCAGAGGTGTGAGAAAATATCGATACACTTGATTAGCGTGATGTTTTGTGATACTGTATTGATCACTGATTGATAGTTTACATGCAAAGATTGGCGGCAGTGGTTCATTATCTGTTGTGCTTTAACACAGGTATGATTGAGTTGTAACCGTAGTCTGTATAGAGATGGATGACGCGTCACCACTTCCTCCCACGGTACAAAAATGAAGCTAAAATATCTCGGATACGGCTGCTGCCATCTTGCGCTGGTGACGTCATTTGGAGCAAAGCTGGATCTGCAGCGACCTGCCTTCTGACATAAAGCTATCAGTATTAAACTGAGATAGTTTTATAACAGATTAAAACTCCTCCTCTCTGTTTTGGTAGCGTTGGTGTTCACATCTGACGCGTACTGTAGCGGAGTGCACATAAACCCCCCATCGTTAGAGCCGTCAGCGCTGTAATCCATCTTCAGCCTTTGACTCCTCCACTCCACCGTAACAACATATCGCTGGCATAACAACAAATCACACATGCCTGTGAAACAGCCAGTCATAAAGGGAGAGCCGTTAGCATTGACAGCTTTGATGCCTCTGTGCCAGCGATAGCCGTGGCCGGAGGCATTATGTTTTCGGGTTGTTGACACATACGTATGTCTGTCCCATCCTTGTGAACATAATATCTCAAGAACGCCTCAAGGGAATTTCTTTAAATTTGGCACAAATGTCCACATGGACTCAGTGATGAAATCAGCAGATTTTGGTGGTCATAGGTTAAAGGTCAAGGTCACTGTGACCTTGTCTGTCTCATTCTCGTGGACGTGATATCTCAAGAACGCCCTTCAGGCAATTTCTTCAAATGTGGCACAAACATTTACTTGGACTCCACTAATTAGATTTTGGCATCAAAGATCAAAGGTGAAGGTCGCTGTGACCTTACATCCATCTTGTTCTTGTGAACGCAATATCTCAAGAACAGCTCAAATTTGGCACAAACCTTCACTTGGACCGATTAGATTTCGGTGCTGAAAGGTCAGTTTGGCCTTGCATCTGTCTCATTCTTGTGAACATGATATCTCATGAAGACTTTAGGGGATTTTCTTCAAATTTGACACATGGACTGAAGAATAAACTGATTCGAATTTTGTGGTCAAACATGAAGGTCATTATGGCCTCACAAAGCATGTTTTTGGCCATAACTCAAGAATTAATTTGATAATTATGACAGAACTTCACACAAATGTTAGATAGGATAAAATAATGACTTGATGACATTGCATATCCAAAAGGTCAAAGGTCAACTTCACTGGCGAAATCATAATGTTCTGCATAAAACACTTTTCCGGCCATTACTCAATGTCATATCTCAGGAACAGAAGGGGAGAGATTTAGTCAGGTACTGAATTGGTGACGCTCATTTTGGATGTCCACCTTGAAACTGTGCTGATTGTAAAGATCTTCTGTGTGTGAAGTGCCCATGTTTTCACAGACATCGATGTAAACTGTTAGAGAAACCTGATCGGTGTGTGGAGGCGTACAATTGCAGGGTGATAATTCTACCTCTAAATGTAGATTAAATGCTTACAGTATCACAATATATCAAATACGTTGAATCTTAAACCTCTGTATCATGACACGTATTGTATCACCTGATTCTTGCCAATAACCAGCCCTTTGGATCTTTTCCTATCTGACATGCTGTATCTCCACCTGTCAACAGGTGATATCAGCCCAGCAGCTCCCCAAAGTGAACAAGAAGAAGTCCTCCATCGTGGACCCGCTGGTTAAGGTGCAGGTTTTCGGAGTGCCAGCTGATGTTGCCAAGAGAGAGACCATTTATGTGGAAAACAACGGTACCTTTCCTTAGAAACACTATATACAACACTTGCTTTGTACTGAGCCTCTGTTTGTCAGCGCCATTTACAAAAAGCAGATATTGGTGATATATTTGCATTTATTTTGAACTGTTGGAGGATTATTTTCAAAATTTTGGCTTTTTTTATTCATATAATTAGCTGAATGTAGCCAATGCAACATTTTTATTTTTATTACAGTTACAATTCTGTTTGACATTTTTCCAGCATCTAAAATTTAAGGTGAACATTAGTATGAATACATCTGTGGATACATTTTTTGAGCATCACAAACCCTGTGAAATGACTTGTTTCTCCAATGGGATTTGATTCATTTGGTCTGATAACATTTTGAAAGTCTAATGGTGGCTTGATTAAATCATTTAATCAACAAGTTCACTTAGTGCTAAATTGCAAGTAGCCGACTCGGCCGACGGAATTTTCTAGTGCGCCTGCTCTGTGGGCCACACAGTGCAGGAGAGTCGGATCGTTTCATACCACAGCTTCATGCGCCACTGAACAACTTTCATAGGAGTGACGAGGCCTTGCCTCCAAAACTTTATCCAGTTCTCTTTATGCATCCATGTTCCAGAGTTGGAGTCCACAATCCAGTGGGTGACATCAAGGTGGCTGCATCCATTATTTTATAGAGTCTATGGTTGTAAAGGGGGATTTATACTTATGTGTCGAATCAACGCTGTACCAAAATAGCATTATAAGTCTTGTGTGTGATATATCCAGGCTTCATATGAGCAGAGGATGCTGTTGTTCCTGGCTTCATATGAGTAGAGGAAATCTCCGCTAGCTGCTAGGCTAATTTATACAATGTAAAATGTCATAGGCTTGTTCTAACAACATTAGCATGTTGTATTTGTGGGGAAAATGTGTCCAGATAAAGACAAGTGCTTTGTCTGTGAATGCTGTGAGTTATAATGAAGCTGATTTGTGTACTTGTGTTTGAAACTGTCACTATTAAGCCAAGTTTAATGTGTGTTTTGAATCAACTAAACTTTAAAGAACTTCACAGAAACCCCGCTGCTAACTAGTGTTTTGGAGGTGTAACAGAGGGACACAGACACACCACCGCACAAGTACAAATGCTAACAACAGCGTAGGCCACATGCGTAGGCTACAGGGGAGGGTCTGCATAGAGCTGATGCACAAGTATAAATCCTCCTTAAGACTGTAACTTCCTGTTTACTGTGAGAAAGTCCTGCTCTGCCTTTACTGTGACTCTGTCTTTATAAAACAGACAGCTGCACACAACTAATCATGCCCTCTGGGGGTTGTTTTGAAATGCATTCTGGGAAACAAGGGGAGCCTTTGAAGCACAAGGAGCAGGTCAAAGAAATGAATGATACACCAAGTTACTGATGGCGTCATTCTTCTTTTCTGTTGAAGGTTTTAACCCATCATGGAATGAAAACTTCCAGTTTGATGTTTATGTACCAGACCTGGCACTGGTGCGCTTCGTCGTCGAGGACTACGACTCCACGTCTGACAATGAGTTTGTCGGGCAGTACACGCTTCCATTCAACAGCTTAAAAATGGGTAAGTTCAGCAACAGGCAAATTGCAAAATGTTCTTTTTTTTTGTCCTCACTGTAACTTGATGATGTCAGACCACTGATAGTTCCTTGTTTTCACACTTCATAAATGAACAGAGACGAGAACTATCTGGTCGAGCATAGAGAACTGAATTCACTCTCTGCAACAAACAATTCATTCTTCATTTTTTTTTCTAATCACTGACTGCGACCACTTTGTGCTCCCACACAGGATACAGACATGTCCCTCTGCTCAGTAAGAACGGAGACGTCCTCCCCTCAGCTGGACTCTTCGTACACATCATGGTCCTTGATGCTGAGTGAGATGTCACCGACTGCCATGTACCTCTAAAGGACACAAGGACCTCCATCACACAGCCACGTTCAGCTGTTTTTAATTACTTTTTTTTTTTTGCTCTGTAGTTTTAGTTCACAATTAGTTTGAACAGCCTTTTAAAGGGACAGTTCACATTTTTCCTCTTACCTGTAGTACTATTTATCAGTCTAGGTTGTTTTGGTGTGAGTTACTGAGTGTTGGAGATATCAGCCGTAGAGACGTCTGCTGATTTCAGAGAGGACTATCAACTTGTTTCATTCGTTTCAATCTTCAGCCTGACATAGCATTTACTCTAACACCTGAGCCACACTGCCTGCGTGAACAGTGCGTGACGGCTACCACGCTGAACTGCTGTAGTGTTCACACAGACAGCGTTGCTGCTGCAGAGCTGCCTGCTGTTTCACTACTGTATTTCCACATTGAAAAGCAGGTACTTCACTAATTTATGGAGCCGTGCAAGCCGCTGCACTGTCAACAACACGGTCATGACAATATTGTACAACAAAAAAGCCTTGTTTATAAATGAAGGGATCCTGTCGACAGAATTGTTATCAGAGGGCTTTTATTTTGAAACAAGAAGTGTTAAGTCTGTGACGCTGGTCACGTGGGCAGTGTGGCTGCTCTAACCTGTCCACACAGGCACCGAAATAAAAAACAAAAGGATCTGCAATAGACACACACTGCTCATGCGGGCAGTGTGGCCTCTCTAGGGGGAGAGGGATTCAGTTTTCCCTAACGATTCACTAGGGACCAACGTAAATATGTGTCTTTATTTTGGGGGTGAACTGTCCCTTTAAAAGTCAGATAAAGACCAAATTCTTCTCAAGGGTCGACAAAGTAAAGAACTCCGTCTGCAGCTGGAATCGAGTTGTACTGGGAGTGGGTTTATGCATGCAAACGCTGTACATACACACTAGGTTTGTTTGACTTTCTAATGCTCCATGAGTCACATTACAGGGACAAACTGTGTCAGTTGGTTTGTATGAGTTGCACTAGTGTTATACGACGTTCAGTTTGCGATGGCATATCATTCGTGTCCCTTATTTCTGGTCAGTTAATGTGTCGTCTATTTAAATCTTTTTATCCACATGATATTTTATGAATTCCGGAGAAATGTAAGCCAACATGAAAACAGCATGCTTTGTCTTCATCGGTCATTTTAGTCATCAAGTGTGGTTATTTTTCATGTGACATCATCATGACTTTATCTTTTGTAAATGAGGGTGAAGATAAAAGTTAAAACATGAACACCTGTCTGAATGTTTCGTTTTCAGCACTTTGAATGTAACTGTGTTTGACTGATCTGAAGAGTCCACATGGATGAACTGTGAATCTGTCGTCATGTACTATTAACCTAATTAATAATCCTGGGGCTTCTCGTCCTGTAATGTAATGGTATTTAATAACCTGTCTTACTTACAGGTATACAACAAAGCTAACAATACTAGCCTACTGCCTCACAGGGGACTGAAAGCAGATTAGATCAGAAAGACAAAAACAATTTAAGAATTTTAGACCAATGCAGATAATAATAACAATATAACAATAATAATTACGAAGTTGTACTGAAATTGATATAAAAGCTATAATAACAGTAATATTAATAAAACAAAATGACATATTACAGAACTAGATAAAACAGAATAAAGGGACAAAACAATAAATATAATACTATAAAATAAAATTATTTTGAAATAATGAAAATATTAAAAATATTAAAAACGTATAATAAAAAAGTTTGAAAAAAGATGTAAAAGACAACGATAAAAATAATACAATATATTTAAAAGCTAGAAGAAGAAGAAGGAAATTATTAAATAAAAACTAGACCTAAAACTTGAGAAAATAGTAAAAAGACCAAACATAAAAACAATACAACCAACTATTTAAAAGCTATGATAATAATAATAATAATAACAATAACAATGACAATAATTATAATAATGAATATGAATAAAAGCTCAACTAACAGACTTAAAATAGGTAAAAAGAAAAAACAAAATAAATAAACCAATATATAATATAATAATAAATAATGAATAAATGTAAATTATATAATATATATTATATAATAAATTAATAATAAATAAAAACATATTTGAAATCTATAAGTAAATGGATAAAATAATTTAATTAATGTCTATAAACCATCTTTATCTAAAGCCTGGCTAAATGTATTGGCTTTAACTTCATATTTAAAGACTGTCAACACTTGCAGCTGCTCCCAGATCCTCAGGCTGTTTCAGCTGCTCGGAGCATCACAGATAAACAGTAGCAAAACCAGGTACCTCTGTGAACCACTTTACTTTGTGAACACAGGAAGAAGGAGAGCTGTGTGAGGCTGAGCCACTTTCCACAGAATAAAACCATTAACCTGGTGAACTTTGGATGGACACACCTTTGTTACACAGTGCGTCAGTCCAACAATCAGGAGGAAGTCAAGGCTCAAGAAAAAGTATTTGTAGCTTTAGGGAGGGTCAAAATAAAATAATAATAACAAAAAATACAAAGTCACACCCCAGCCACTCCCTCCTCTGATAAAATAAAGAACAGTCCCTAAATGTACAAAAGTATTGGCATCAAAATATATTTAAATTACCAAAAGTAAAAGTAGGCTATTCATAGGCGTAGGTTTCAGGGGCGACACAGGGGACACATCCCCCAACAATAAAAACATTTAAGAAGAGGAGCACTTTTATTTTGACAATTACTGACAGTTATGACATAAACTGATGCAGAAAAGGTGCAAATTTGTGTAAAAAAATCACCAAAATGCAGAAAATTAAGGGTTTGATGCTCAAAATGTTCTGGCGGAGGACCCCTAGACCCCGGTTTCATATGTGCCCCCCTAAAGCTGAGACAAAACCTACACATATTATAGATCAGACCAGATTCCGATTTCTTTATTTGTCATTTTTACACTCCACATAAAAACCAAAGTGTTTCACACATACCACCAATCGATAAATATGCTTCAGTGCAATATATAAATGTAAACAATAGCATAAATAAGAGCAGTTATATGAAAGCTAAAACTGTGAGGCTAAAGGAGAATAATTATTATGAACTAGAAAATGCTTCTCCTGCAGAAAGTGCACACGGATACCAAACACAGAAATGCAGAAATATAAATAAAAAAATAGCCTGAAAGAAGCTTGAATGCACTGACTACACTGCTGAAAAAAAAGGAAGCTGCAGTGTAAAACGTGCAGGATTGGAAGCTGAACTGTTTTTACCAAAAAATGCTAAGAGCTGAAATACATTGGTAGAAAAGGTGAAAGCTGAACTGTAATATTGTCAGAAGTTAAAATTAACTGAGAGGGCTGAAATAAGAAATGTTGAAGCACTGATGCAGCAGAAGTAGAAACAGTAGTTGCAGGAGCAGTGGTAGCAACAGCAGCAGCAGGAGTGGTAGTAGCAGCAGTGATAGACGTTGCAGTAGTTGTAACAGTAGTTGTAGTAGCAGAAATTGCAGTAGTAGTGGTAGCAGTAGTAAAAGTAGTAGAAGAAGGAGCAGCAGTAATAGCAGTAGTAGAAAAAGTTGTCCATACGGCAGCAGTAGAAATAGTAGAAACAGTAGTTGTAGTAGTGGCAGCAGCAGCAGTGGTAGTAGCAGCAGTAGAAGTAGCTGTAGTCGTGGTAGCAGTAATTGCAGTAGTAGTAGTAGCAGTAGTTTTAGCAGTAGCTGTAGAGGCTGTAGTCACAGCAGGAGTAGTAGTAGCAGTTGTAGTAATAATAGTAGTACTAGTCCATACCCATTGAGTGCACAGTTGCCCACGTAGTTTCACATGGTGTGTGTTTGGGATACAGTTCATAGGAAATTGCAGATTAAATAGTCAACTGAACCCATTAAGAAGAGCAATGTATTCAGACAGAATTTTTGTGAATTTGATAGTACGATTGCAGCCACAGAGATCTGTCGCATCTTAGCCATTTTTCTGTTGTTATAGCGCCACCCAGTTGCCAATTAGAGTTAAATTTCTCCAGTCACCTTGAGGCATCCTGTTCTACATACAGTACAGGCCAAAAGTTTGGACACACCTTCTCATTCAATGCGTTTTCTTTATTTTCATGACTATTTACATTGTAGATTCTCACTGAAGGCATCAAAACTATGAATGAACACATGTGGAGTTATGTACTTAACAAAAAAAGGTGAAATAACTGAAAACATGTTTTATATTCTAGTTTCTTCAAAATAGCCACCCTTTGCTCTGATTACTGCTTTGCACACTCTTGGCATTCTCTCCATGAGCTTCAAGAGGTAGTCACCTGAAATGGTTTCCACTTCACAGGTGTGCCTTATCAGGGTTAATTAGTGGAATTTCTTGCTTTATCAATGGGGTTGGGACCATCAGTTGTGTTGTGCAGAAGTCAGGTTAATACACAGCCGACAGCCCTATTGGACAACTGTTAAAATTCATATTATGGCAAGAACCAATCAGCTAACTAAAGAAAAACGAGTGGCCATCATTACTTTAAGAAATGAAGGTCAGTCAGTCCGGAAAATTGCAAAAACTTTAAATGTGTCCCCAAGTGGAGTCGCAAAAACCATCAAGCGCTACAACGAAACTGGCACACATGAGGACCGACCCAGGAAAGGAAGACCAAGAGTCACCTCTGCTTCTGAGGATAAGTTCATCCGAGTCACCAGCCTCAGAAATGGCAAGTTAACAGCAGCTCAGATCAGAGACCAGATGAATGCCACACAGAGTTCTAGCAGCAGACCCATCTCTAGAACAACTGTTAAGAGGAGACTGCGCCAATCAGGCCTTCATGGTCAAATAGCTGCTAGGAAACCACTGCTAAGGAGAGGCAACAAGCAGAAGAGATTTGTTTGGGCCAAGAAACACAAGGAATGGACATTAGACCAGTGGAAATCTGTGCTTTGGTCTGATGAGTCCAAATTTGAGATCTTTGGTTCCAACCGCCGTGTCTTTGTGAGACGCAGAAAAGGTGAACGGATGGATTCCACATGCCTGGTTCCCACTGTGAAGCATGGAGGAGGAGGTGTGATGGTGTGGGGGTGTTTTGCTGGTGACACTGTTGGGGATTTATTCAAAATTGAAGGCACACTGAACCAGCATGGCTACCACAGCATCCTGCAGCGACATGCCATCCCATCCGGTTTGCGTTTAGTTGGACGATCATTTATTTTTCAACAGGACAATGACCCCAAACACACCTCCAGGCTGTGTAAGGGCTATTTGACCAAGAAGGAGAGTGATGGAGTGCTGCAGCAGATGACCTGGCCTCCACAGTCACCGGACCTGAACCCAATCGAGATGGTTTGGGGTGAGCTGGACCGCAGAGTGAAGGCAAAGGGGCCAACAAGTGCTAAACACCTCTGGGAACTCCTTCAAGACTGTTGGAAAACCATTTCAGGTGACTACCTCTTGAAGCTCATGGAGAGAATGCCAAGAGTGTGCAAAGCAGTAATCAGAGCAAAGGGTGGCTATTTTGAAGAAACTAGAATATAAAACATGTTTTCAGTTATTTCACCTTTTTTTGTTAAGTACATAACTCCACATGTGTTCATTCATAGTTTTGATGCCTTCAGTGAGAATCTACAATGTAAACAGTCATGAAAATAAAGAAAACGCATTGAATGAGAAGGTGTGTCCAAACTTTTGGCCTGTACTGTATATACCAAGTTTAGTAAAAATCGATAAGGCGGTTAGGCCTAGATAAGAAATTAGCTCTCTAGCGCCCCCATTTTGTTTGATGGGGTCAATAATGGAGGGGTCCCCTCAGATTATGTGTGGTCATATGCCTACAAAGTTGTGTGGTGGTCGGTGAAACCCTTGAGATGTTATACACCTTTATGTGATGAGCCACGCCCTCTGCAATATTCATTGCCTTATAGAAGCTCAGTTTTAGTAAGTTTTCCAACTTTTGCCAAGAGGGAACTTTAGATATTGGTCCCTAGATTATGTTCACCGAGTTTCATGCAAATCAGTCAAACTCCCTAGGAAGAGATCGACTTTAAATGTTTTTCAAAATATTCAAAGTGGCGGAAAATCTATATAACTGGAAATTATGGGTTGTTGAGGCAAATCTGTTCCTCATGAGGAGAGGCATCTCTGTGCAAAGTTTCATGTCTCTACGACATACGGGGCATGACATAGGCCCATTCAAAGTTTGCAATTTCAATCGGTTGCTATAGCGCCCCCCTTTGGCCAACGGATGTAATATTGCTTCATTCGCATCCTCCCATGACCCTCTACCACTGTGACAAATTTCACATG